CAAAGTACCAATGAACTGGCCAGATGTATGGAGAACCGGGATGACTGGAAGCGACGATGGAGGGCTCGTCTGAGGACGACCTAGAGAGATAGTATGCTACTTCTACTCTTTTAAATTTGAATATCATACTTGTTATTAGACAATAGGTGATTTTACAGGAAAGTGTAGCACAACACCGTGGGAGGATTGTTCAGGGAGTTCATTTCTGAGTAATTGTGATGAGATTATTAATTGTACTATTTTCAGTTCCTACATTTAAATATAATGAAACTGTTTCAATGCCATAAATGAGGGGGGTCCAGGTATCTTGTAAGGGGTCTTTACAGTTAGGGACCCTCTGCTGCAGTCTTTTGTCAGGCAGGATCGTCAGTCCTGATTCCTGGGCTCAGACTTGCAGCGAGTGTGTCACTGAACAAATGTTTTAATGCTTTTTATTGGATTAGTGGGCTCAAATAGCAGCAGGCTGGTCGATGGTCCACTCCGACTGATGGATAATAGCATTATCCTGCATGGGCCTGTGGATTGGCAGACAGGCGGACAGAGCTATCCTATCATTGATCGGCTCTCCCCTCCAGGGCCACTCTGATGCTAGCCTCCATCCAGGGTTTCATTTGTTTATGAAATATTGATATTGGCTTTCTATCGCCTCTTGGAGATGGGGAGATTCCGCTTGATGGAAATTAAAGCGTTTAGACATGTTGGGAAAAAGGTTTTGTGAACTGAAAGTACTTTTTTCTCTGGCAGACGTAATCGGTATATTATTTCCAGAATTACACCATGAAGGCTTTTGCTTTTCGTGCCATATTTCCTTCTTTAAAAGTAAAGTCCCTGCAGAGAAAAGGGAAACAGCTGTACCTGCTTCCTTGTAAGTTTTTCTGTAAATCGTAAAGCTCAGCAGTTTTGTGTTACACTGCGATCACTTTACTTTTTAACCGTGTATTGAAGCCTTAAAGGAGAGGTAATGCTTTAAACTACAACACTTTAAACAACCCAAGGCAATGCAGACTTTTATATTTGAATTACTGATCCAGGCAGAAATACTCATGCTCATCATTAAATACTCAATGCTTACCAACAAGGCCCACAGCAACATTTCAAACATAATGTCTTTTAGATCTGCCTGTTGATAGCGCCCTCTGTATGCAAACCACCCCTGTTACCAGTCCCTCACCAGATCTCCCTTTTATTTAGAAAAGCTTTCTTTAACCCTAAACCACAAAACAAGCTAACTCTGGCTCCTGCAGCGCGAGATGGATGCAGTCGATCTTGTCAGTAAACAGATGCTTTAGTCTTCCCTTAATGACAGTCAGGATTGACGGGCTACCACAGCCAAAGCCTTTTATGCAGGGGAAGAGCCTCTTGGATCAATAGTTGTTACCTAGGCAAAGCCCACACAACCACTAATGAATCCAGTGGCTTACAGAACAGGCTGCTCTACACAGGAGACAAAGCTTGGACATATTTATCACTTTTTGTGGTAATGTGGTAATATGCATCCAAATATACCCTCCACATTGGATTGAAAGAAACAAAATGAAGAGATTAGTGTGCGTTTTATTAAAATAAGTTGTATATAGAGAGGTGAACAGGCCTATTGCCATGACACTAGAGAGTTTTGTTTGTCGTGTTGCACCATGTCAGTTGTCTGTGCTCTGGGACTGGTTCCGTTGTGTTTGAGTCGTCGCTGTCTGGCACACCCATCCGTCTGTCTGCTCCACTTTTTCAGTTTTTAAGCGTAGGATTAAAGTACTGATATATCAAAGGTGGATGTTAGTCACCTGTCTGGGATTTCTAATTATAAAAAGGCTTTGTGCCAACAAGGTAGCAGTGCTGTGTGTTACAGTTCACGAGTATTTAGACAGTGACGCATTTTGCTTTGTTTTGGTTTTGTACTCCACCATATTTGATTTGGATTAAATAATGATGAGTGACAAAAACTCTTGTCAGGTGTCAAGAGTTGTTTTTGTTTTGTTCAGGATGTTTACAACAATGTTTAACTCGTACCACTTTAATACAGTTCGCCTATTTGTTTATGACAATGCTGGAGACCAATAACAACAAATGATATATAATTTCTGGAAGGTTTTCCAGCTTGAGTTTGAAATGGTCCCCTTGTGAAATCCTTACAGAAAGTGTAACAATTAGAATTGACCATTGTACCAGGGGTTGGACTTGTTGGCAATGTGTTGTGTTTTACTTCATTTCGTTTGTATACAATTAAGAAAGAATATAACATTACTGAGATTTAGGAATGCTTATAATCAGATTTAACTACATAGTCTAGTAAAAAGTCTAACTGATCATTTTGAATTGAAATGTGTCTTTCCTATCCACAACACCCGTGTCTTCCCACTAGCAGCTGATTTCCACTGCAGACATAGAAACCTCTCAGATGAGCCGACACACTTCCTCCTGCACTGTGCTGTGTATTACAGATAGCACTTGATGGATTTTGACAGGCTGGATTCACAAGCAGCTAGAGACCCTCCAGATCCACAGAGATATGAAATGATGGCCGTCTCTACTGGCTCTGCACCTACACCAGGCATTGTGAAATATACCATCCTGCTAAGCCCAGCACTTTGCTGCTCGTCTGCAGGATATTAGCTCAGCCAAAGGTTATTCATAGACTATCAAACAAGAGCTGCGGTCAGGAAATGCTGACTTGCGTGTAAATATCAATTAAATTAGTGGGAGTGCCTGTTGCTGAGGGTGCACTGCCTCATTTTACTGGCCACAGCCGCTAACAGTGCTGCGTAAATCACATCTGTACAAGAAATAAGAGGCATTTATTAGATTATACGTGTTTACACATTCATTTACTATGCATTTGGTCATTACATGACATATGGCATAACATAGGATTTCATAAAGTATTTTTCAAATAGTTTATACATTATTCGAATATAGGAATAGTAGATAGGATTACTTAAAATATAGTACCTTTATATTTCATCTTTTTTCCCTTTAGACCCTTGCGGTTTATTCTTAAAAACCCTTACCCTTACACACCCCCCATTTTCCCTCTGCTGGTCTATGGCCTTGTAGAGGGTAACGGGGTACAGAGTCGCTTAGATAAGCGGGGGAGTGCATCTGACGAAGAGATAGGTTGTTGTGCTCCCTATCTCTGTTTCTTATCCTATATCTAATAGAAGTGCTCGGGTCTTGATAGATTGAGTGGGGAAGTTCATGAGATCTTTCTAGAGGGTTATCAAGAATAACTTTTATCCAATGACCTTTTCCCTCTCTGTCTGTGTCTGTGTATTCTCTTGTTCCGATTAACCCAGCCAAATCTTTTTTCTTGTTTTGTATCTATATCTACGCCGGGAACCGGAGTCGAGGCTGATCCTCTTGCTGTTGTCCTGTGTCTTGGATCCTCTATCCCGAGTTCTGGATTAAGTCGTGGACTTCGGGTCGTGGCTGAACCTGTCTCTGCGGTCCTGCCTTGGGTCTCGCCATGCTGCTTCCCTAATGGCTTCCTCAGGATTGTAGCTGACATCCTCGTGGATTCATCTTCTTATTACAGACACATGCATTTCCTAACATTCGGTCTATATGCTGTAAAATGTATTATCTCTTCGATTTACACACGGCATCTATTGCATGTCTGTCCGTCCTGGGAGAGGGATCCCTCCTCTGTTGCTCTCCCTGAGGTTTCTCCCATTTTTTCCCCTCAAACTGTGGGTTTTTCTCTGGAAGTTTTTCCTTGTACGATGTGAGGGTCTAAGGACAGAGGGTGTCGTATTGTCATACTGATATTCTGAACAATCTGTGCTATTGTATTTGCTGTAAAGTGTCTCTACTGTAGGCTATTTTTATTATATGTACAGCACTTTGGCTCGACCAAAAATCGTTTATAAATGTGCTATATAAATAAAACTTGATTTGATTTGATGGCAGAGAAAGATTATGGTAAACATTGATCATGCGCTGATTTTATTGACATAATATAGTTTGAATAATGAATCTGATGTGGTTTAAATAATAATACATGACATTTTTATATTAATAAATACTTTGTTGTGATAGATTTATCTTTTCTGAGAAAATCCTTTGGTGCACAATTAACTTTTAAGTCACTGACAAAAGTCACAGTGCTTGATGAAATAATCAAGAAATGTGAGTTGTTAGTACAAAATAAATCATAAAAAACATCCACATTTGGCAGAGGATTGAAAACAACAAATCATTTATAATTTAACACCAAATGTTACAAAAATGAAAAGCACAAATGGAGAATCTTGCAGAGGAAATCACTTCTTATCCCTTGCACAACTTGAGGCACAGCATTGGTAACCAGTGAGGTCTGGTTATTTTGGTTGGAGGGGTTTGAATGTGTTTAAAACACAAGGCACATTGTGGAGTCTCCGGTGCCAAACTCCATGCCTCTTGTTTTTCACGCCTGAAAAAGTAACCTCTGCCCCCCCCCCCCCCCCCCCCCCCCCTTTCAGAGTTATGTAGGCCAGCTTGCTCAGCAGAGACAAAATGGGAGCACAGCTCTGTAGATGCAGCCTCAGCAAAACCATCCCTTTAAAGCTGTAGGTGCAGGAGCCATTTCTCATGGGAGACTGGATTATTACCGTATGCAGCTGAGGTAAAAGCATAGACACTCTCCATTATTATATAAGTGATTAGTGACTCATAATTTACAGATTGATACAAAGCAACACAGCTCAAACATGTAAGCAGTTCATATTCAAACAGCTACAATATACAATAAATTAACATCAAATGTCTTTATTTTAAATATCTACTGTATAAAGAGTTGACGCAACCCAAAAAGCTAATGAAATTGCTTTTGTGATCAAATCATCTTAAAGGAAATTGTTTCTGATAGGGAACCAGTGCATGTTTTACCCAATTTAAAATCAACACACTGCATTGATCTGATGGGAATCATTCTTATGAGTGTTTGGAAACATAAGGATATGTGGTGCTCAGAATTCAGTCAACAGTCAGATACAACTGAATAAAGGTGAAATTATTGACATCTATAAAAGTTCCAAAGAGAAAGGTATTTATGTGTACACCAGGTCAATACAATTGTATTTATGACAGTATCAAGTAGGGGTGTCTTACTGCAATATATATATGTATCGATAACTGTGATATTTCAGAAATTAAATATTGATATTCTGTTAACAATACACTTATAATACAGAATGTTGTGTATGTAAATACTCAAATCTTAAATCATTTTTAAGTTTGTCTCTCCGCTATACACACAAATAAGTGTAATTCGTTGGTTAAAAAAAGACAAATGTATAATAATCAAGGTCAACGATTCATTATACTGATAACATAATTGCTTTCCCCCCCCCAAACATATCTATAATCTATATATGTTTTGCCATGATAATCATCTGTATAACCATCTTTACACCTGTCTGCTTTACTCTGAGTGCACACACACTGCCACATTCTTGTGTCTCTCCCAGTAGTGACAGTCTTCCGGAAAGCTCCACGCAGCTGCAGACTCCTTGTGGCGACTGACGGCGTGAACAACAAACCCACACAGCTGCTTCTCCAACACCTCCACCACGGCCGGAGCGTTCCCCTTCTTCCCCTGGCCCTCCATCGCCTGCTGGATGCAGCCCTGAGGCACCGGCTGTGGTTTGGTGCTGTACGACACCACCAGGTTGATGTTGTTCACCTGCAGCACCTCGAACCAGTTCTTCCCCGCCACGTGGTGGAAATGCTCCCCTGCTCTCCAGTTCCGGTAGGTGCTTCCTGAGTGGTTGATGAGCCGCACCGACCAGCTAATCCAATCATACTTCTTCACCAAGAACTCCAGAAGCTGCTGAGTTGTATCTTGCAGATTATCGCCTTCCTTTTCTTGCAGGAGGTGTTTGGCATCTAGTTGCGCTTGCTCTGGGAAAGCAGCGATGCACAACTCGATGGTGGTCTTCATCCTGGACTCTACTTCTTCAATTTTGCTGCTCCACTCTTGGATTTTGTCATCTTCTTCATCTTGGCGCTGGGTTAAGGCACAGTGGCCCAGTAGAGCAATCAGGCCCAGACAGAAGAGCTCCTTCATCCGGACACAGAAATCTTCCAGGAGACGACGGTTCCTCGTTACATACCTGGAAAACAAAATAACTATTTACATGTATGTCATATAGTGCAACAACCAGAGAAGCATGCAGTGTTGTTGACAAAGACATAGGAGAACCAAAGAACTGCAATTAATCAAAAACAGAATCAAATATAACAACGTACCTTTCCACTAACTCTAAAACGGACTCTCCAAAGCTGTTTGTCCCCATCAGAGCGTCATACAGCACAAACAGGTTCTTCTCTCCTCCGGTTTTGGCAAAGTGCTCCACAAAAAGTCTGGTCTTCACTTCCCTGAACTGCGGTTTTGCCTCCAAGATGTCCATATACTTCCGAAACTGGTTCCTAATGTTCTCCTCCACAGAGAAGTACTGGGAATCCAGTCTCCCCTTCTTGATCTCGCAGTCAATGTCTTCCAGTTGTGTGGAGAGCACGTCAAGCTTGTTCCTCACCGCCAGGAACTGCTCCTTGACGTAGAAGACCTCTTTGCTGAGGACATTGTCTAAGGCCAGGCGGAGGACGGGAGCGGCGGCCTCACAGAGCGGGAAGAGCTCGCCCACAGCGCTGGCCAACACCTCGGACCCCTTCTCAAACATGTCCATCGCCGCCTCGATGGCCTCCTTCTTCTGGGCCACAGCCCTCTCAAGTGGACTGCTCATGGTCTGAGACACATAGGAATAACACCTGGTGTCAAACATAGAAGAAGGATGTGATACAATTGGAGTCTTATTCTGTTTATTCATGAAAAAATACAGTTTTTTGTGAGCAGTTGAATGCAAGAAGTGTTTCCCTGTAAAAACCTCAGATTGTTTTTTTATCTATTAACTGCTACGGTAGCTGTACCTCTTCTAGCCTCTATTTCACCAAAAAGAAAGCAAAGTTCAAATATGAGGGCCAAATAAACAACACTATAATTGTGTAACAGAGCAACTTACTAAAAGTAAATGCCAAATAAAAGAGAAGTTAAATGATTTTCAAAGACTCTTGATCTCATTTTTCTCTGGAGATAATTTCCCATAAAGCAAACAGTATGAAGAAGCTTTCCTCTTTATTACAGAAGTTATAAAATACATTGGTGAACAGTTATTCCATTATTTCAGAGCTGAAATACTTAGTCAATTTGTCAACAGACGCTTGCTGCTCCTCTAATGAGAGGATTTGCTGTTTTTCTTTGTCTCATGTGATGATCTTTGACTATTTTTGGACATTTCATACAATTCAAACAATTGGCAAATAATAATAAAATAGACATTAACGCAGCCATGGAATATGTTTACTCAAAGTTGTCAAAAATATTTGTTTTTGTTCCTTTGGGAGATAAATATGAAGGTGAATAATGTCCGGCTCAAATGGAGAAGATTTCAAGCATAAACATATCTCTACCTTGACCCAGTTGTGACGGTGATTCATATTCTAAACCTCCCCACCCAGAAGATTGCAGGTAATGATGTCATATAAACAAAATGGGGGCCTGGATGAGAAAATGACATACATGCCCTTGTCTGCATGTGTCTCATTTCAGAGTAGAGCAAGGCCAAACCAGTTTAAATCCCCTTTCATCCTCCATGCTACCTGACATCCATAAATGACCTCCTCTCTGTGCAGATGTTTGTCTGAGGATGAACTCCAGATGCTGCGTCACCCTACTCCTCAACAGATGATCATCAATTGCGTTCATTTGTTTAAAAACAACACTATATCTCTCTTATGCTATATTTATATTTAAGAGTAACAAATAACGACCACTGGAAATCCTTTAGTTGGTTATAAAAAGTATGCATTATGAAGAAAATCGTAAGAAAGGTTTGTCATGTGTCCAAACGTCACCCTTAACTGTCATGCGCATGCAAGAAATGCGCAACTGCAGGTCTTTTTACGCACAAATCTCCTGAGCGCATCGGGCACACCTTAGAGCATATTTACCCCTTGGATGGAAGATAAGGACATTCATCACATTCCTATAATAAGAGCGTTGTTCTGTACCTGAACGAACCGGCTCTGCTGCTCCTTCACGTCTGATGAGCAACAACAGCTGCAAAAAGTCGGTTTTTTTTCTTCAAGTCTGAGAAAATTCCCACGGTTCTCTCATCCACTGTGGAGCTGAACAGGGGTCCAAACACAGGATCCAGAGAGTAAGACGAAATGCGCACTGAATATCTGCAAAGGAGAGAGAGAATGGAGAGAGAGGAGACGTTGAGAGAGAAAAGGAGAGAGAGAGAGAAAAGGAGAGAGAGAGAGAAAAGGAGAGAGAGAGACAGGCGCAAACTGCAAAAGGTGAAATATGTGGTCGGTTCCATTTTCCTCTCAGTCTCCATGTCAGCACGAAAGGAGGATTCAGTCTCCTCTCAACATCAGAAGTAAATATGTTTTGCTTTTCATCATTTCCAAAAAAATGTCGACGGATTTTGCCTAAGAGGTCTCTTGCGCTTATGGTGCAAATGTCTCATTCCCATTATGTGCCTTAGCTGTTGTTCCATCCACGTAGGATCCCAACTTGAGGTAAGACATCGAGAAACTATTGTTATTTTGCCTTTTCAGTGTTAAAATACGATGATTTGATGTATTTATTTGTTTTATCATTACAATGACTGCATCTAAAATAATACATGGATGTGCTCACACAGCTGTGGCGTGAAATACACGTTTGAATTCAGAATATGTTATATCATATTCATATAAATGTTAATGTGCAGGGATGTGTCAACCACACAGTGTTTATTTATAACTATGTGTGCCACCTCTCCACCCAGATTTGGAATACATATATTATGTCAGGGTCAATAATGTTCACTAATGTAATCGATCATGTTGAATTCAAATCGAAGTTAAAAACGATTTGAGTATTTGTATGTATTAGTCAAAGGACTTTATGAGGATTAGCCTATAACACCTCACATCCCCTCATCTGCGCGCACACGACGCACCCTGTGAGAGCCTTATCTGAACCTCCCTTAAAAAGAAAAATCATTACGTAAATCGTTTATTCTCCAAACCACGAAGAGACCCACGTCATCTATGATGGTGTCTTTTAGAATCATGCGCTACACTTTACTCATGATTTTTTTGTATAATAAACAATTGTTTTCTTCAGATAGAAATTGATTATCCGAAACGAGCTCGTGTCAAGGAGAGAGAACTGAGCTCAATCACATGCAGACGTGCTCTGGTGGCTTCAGAGACACTCATCACTCAGTCTGTGGCAGGTAAGCACCTTAAATCATTGTTTCTCAGTAATCTGCATTTCCAACGCCTGCAATGCACATTGTCTTGTTTCGGTTCCCCAACTCTAAGCTGTCAAACCTGAAAAAGATGAGGGCCATTCCAGAGGCATTATCCTATGGCCAGGTGCCTATTTTACTTCACCTGAAGCAAAGGCTTAGCCCCCCTTTGAGCCTCCTCATCAATTAGTTCTGATTGTCTTTTAGTGTGGACCTTAAGAAGGACGTAGGCTTTAATAGCTTGTCAGTTCTGAGACACAGGTGTGATGCTTCAGTCCCGAGGGCCCTCGGGGAGTTCTGTGGAAACAGGTGTAATGGTGGAGCAAGCGAAGTACTCACGCCCTCTTGTGTGCACATCAGCAAACTGCACTTTAACGTCCCTTCTTAGACATCAGAATCAGAATACCTTTATTCGTCCCACAGAGGGGACATTTACAAGTAGACATTTTATCTAAAATGATATACACTTAATATTAATGAAGGTTTCTGATTTTCCAGAAACCAACGACACTAGAATTTGGGCACATAGTATAATATACAAGCTCCTTAAAATGTTTACATTGAGAGGAAAACACGTTTCAATGAAAGCGAATTACCCCAAAAAACTAGTTTTGTAGGTTTATAACAATTGTTTGGCATTTAACTACAATATTCTCTATTTTAATTTCACTGTTTGGGTTTTCTCCATTATTTGTTTTCTTGTCAGTAATATTTAAGATTAACGCTTGTTTAGTCGTAGAGGTTTATACTTGTTAGGGGGTGTGTACATTTCTGACGGAAAAAAGGCAGATATTTAATGTTTATATTCCTTTACATTTTCTATTGAAAAACGAGGACATTCTGTACACAATAGTTATACAATACTTTTTTTCCTACCCATACTTGTAACATATCTTTGGCCCTTTTTGATGTTTTTGAACAATTCATTGGAATTACATTTAGTTAAATATACTATATGACTAAATACAAATGACCATCCAAAGATGATGTATAATATTTAACTCTCAGTTGGCGTTTCAGTTAATCCCAGGATGGGATGGGGTTGAGGTCAGGTCTTAAGTAATTGACAACTCCATATCAGTAATATTCACTCATGTTTATTTATAGTGGTACATATACAACCACACATCAAAGATTCATAACAAAAAAGGCAACATATTCACATAATGGCATTTCAAAAAAGCCTTGAGGTTCTCATAATATTCCTCCATATCGACAGCATTCTGACTGAGTTCACGTCGCGTAAACTCAATCTGTTGTAACAATAAGAGAGTTGGCGCAAAGCCACAGAACGATAAACCACTTAGGAGTTATGTGTTGAGGGGATGAGAGTAAAAAGGACTAGAAATGTGTAAAGTATGAAAAACGTAGGGGAAGTAAGGACATGATGATCATACTGTGCTTCACATGTTTAGTTGACCCACCTGGTACTATTGATAACACCCAAAGACAAACAAAGAAAATAGACAAACACTTACAAAAAGGACTTTAACCACGACTTTGACATATGCACTGTAGTGTATAAAGCATTCCGAACATAGTGTTGCATACTGATAGTTAAATGATTAAGATTAAAAAAAAACTAAATATCACAAAACTTTCACATTTAGGCACGTTGGTCAGATGAGGAATTAAATAAGAGAAAATGACTTTTAACTTTTGTATAAAATATAAAATGCCTCAAATAATGGATATTCAATCTTATATAGGGTCTATTTGGCTCTACAGCAAAAAACAACCAATTTATAATAGTATCTATATATTAAAACCCTACTTGGGGCACCTCTTGCACGTTATGGATAATTAAAGAGTGGAAGGATTCATCCAGTTATATTACACTTTCCTTAAATAGCACATTTAAAAAGTAAATGATCTGTTTATGAATATTAATCAATCACGGAGAGTGACATCATGCATTGTGTATACTGAACTCCATGCATGGAAAACTAACAATCTGTGGCACATGTCATTAAATCATTTATAGTGTGTGATAATGATTATATGATTTCATATCTGGTACATTCATAGCTCTGGAAATTTTGATATTTGTTCCATGTTTTGGTTTGTTTGCTCGTTCTGTTATAACTTGATTGATAGCTCAACCTGTTGAGTTGTTCGACATCTGCATAAAGATGATGTAGCCTTATATAGCTTGGAGGATCTCACGAGGCCCTCTAGTGGAGTAACATTGCAATGAAGCTTGTTTCCTGTTCCTCTTTAAACTTGCATGGCCAGGATCGTTGTCAATGCCAACCAACTTGTAGTGTAATACAAAAGAAAGTGCATAATGCGGGGGACGCTTTGCTATATCACAAAATATCTACATACATTTATGTTAAGACTGAGTTACAGATGTCTGTGATATAAAGCCTGTTATGTCACTACATTGCTTTCAGAGTAGATTTATGATTAATGATAAGGCTCCCATGTCCTATTTGTCTTAGTGTTCTCAATCAATTCAAACCACTGTAGTGCTTTCTGAATTCATCACATCACTCTTTTATATAGCAAATGTAGTGACATAATTTAGAGTTCTTTACCTTGGACAGAACATGCATGCCTGCATATTGTTGCTTTTTATCACTGGGCTATCAAGCAGTGAACGTAGATGTTATGAAAGGTGCTTACTGGGAGAGAAAAAGCTAAGAGGACGGAGTCACAGAGGGAATGTGGACATGCGAGTCCTGAATATGAAGCAAAAGCAGCTCCTTCTTCTTCTTCTTCTTCTTCATTTGCACCTGCGAAGCGCCTCCTGCATCTTCTCTTGCACGTGCTCCATCTTCTCGGCCCACTCCTCGGTCAGGCCCTCCTCGTCGTCTCCGATGACGGCGGCGTATCCCATGAGGGCGATAAGGCCGATGCAGAACAGATATGTGAGGCGTGTGCAGAGGCGCTCCATGGTGCGGCGGTCGCCCTGCGAGTGCTTCAGGTACACCTCCAGGATGGGTCTGCTGAAGAGCTTGGGTTTGCCCACCACGCCGTCGTACAGCGTGTGCAGGTTCTGGTCTCCCAAGTCATTGGAATAGCTGTCTTCGAAGTCGCCCTTCTTGCGTTCGCAGTGATCCGGCCGCGCCTCCACCATCTCCATGAACTTCCTGAACTGGTTCTTCAGGTTCTCCTCCACGCGGCAGTATTGGCCGTCCAGCGTTTCTTTCTTGATCTGAACCAGCGTGTTGCGGTTCATCTGAGAGAGCTCGTCCAGCGCTCGGTTGACTGAGCCAAACTCACGCTTCAGGGTGCGGATGTCCTCGTCGTCGACGTGGTGCAGCACCACCCGGATCAGGGAACCTGCCACGCCAAAAATGGGGTTGACCACCGCTGCTGCTGAGGAGATGGTGGCCACACACTGGAGCACTTTGACCAGGCCCTGTTTCAGCTTAGCCCGGTCCTCAAGGATCTCCTCTTCCATCATGATGCTCCCGCGCTGCAGATGTTGAGGTGCAGATGTGGATGTCTGTGGAGAATATGGGAGAGAAAACATCACAGTTGACTATTACTGATGGTTTTAGGATGCTACAGCCAGTCATCAAAAGAAGGCTTTTTGTTGTTTATGGGACACAAAGCATTAAGAGCCATCCCATACATTTTTTACACGAGCTGTTAAGGCCCGTCCACACGGAAGCGTCACGTGCTTCAACGGAGACGCTTCCCATTCACTTTGAATGGGGTGACGTTACGCTTTGCCGAACTGCATTGTGGTTCCGTCGCTTTGCCTCCGTTGCTCGCTTCAAAAGTTGAGAAAAGTTCAACTTTTCAAGCGTCGACGGAAGCGCCAGCCAATCAAATCCTATGCCAGTACAAGCTCTAGCCAATCAAACCGCGTGCTTGTGTGTCCGGGGCGGGAGATTAATGTGATTGGTTGTTGGTCGCACGCTAGACACGCCCACCTTCAACGCATGCTGGTGTGGACGTACTGTTAGTTTATCAGTTCTTTATTCAGTTGCTTTGTTATTAACTGTGGATGTTGTGTTAGAAGGAAGTTAGTCTTTTTTGGGAGATATGAATGTTTTTATCACAGTTTACAATAGTATTCTAATCATGATTCCAAATCCTTGACAATTGTATATATCAGATTCATAGAAGAAAGCAAATTAACGTTTTATAATAATTAGTAACTGATTCTCCCAGTTCCTTTCAGACTGATATATTTTCATACTACTTAGACAGATGCATAGTTAATACGAATCTCACAGCAGTTTGACATGATATTCCACCATGGAAAACAAATGATATTGTAAAAAGTCTGATTTGTAACAGTTGAAGAGAGCATCTTACATCAGATTTCCTCTGCTCAGCTAGCACTGGATTCTGGTCCTGCAGTTGCTACAGTAAGAAGGGACACCGGTCCTTATGAGGGTGATTCCTGAAACAAAAGACAGACAAAGATTCAGACACAAGACTCACATGATTCAAATATACCCAACACATTGGATTTTGGCTCATTGTGTCTCTCTGAAACCAGGAAGTGAACAGATTATTCTCCCTTGCTGGTTGCAGCTTTCAGCAGTGAAGGAGTTAACAGCCTCTCCTGTGTGACGGAGCTGTATTCAGCACTCCAGCCTTTCAGCACCAGGCTGCTCTCTGTGTGTTCCTATGGGCTGAGCTGATAGCTCCTCAGCAGCAGGAGCGAGCTAAAGGAGTGACGGCATGTTAAGTTGCTAGCAGCAGCTAATGGACAGAGAGCTGCAGCAGTACACTGAAAAAACAAATGTGCTACAGCTGACTGAGCTGTAAGACTTGTTTATTACCTCACAATAGCTACCGTACAGAAAAGGTACATGATTACAAGCAGGTTAAGAGGAGGGATTTGGATGTTTAAAGTAAACTATATGTGAGCTGCTGAAGGCTACAAGAGGGAGCAGTACAATCTCTTGTTGACACTTGTGTTTGTAAAAACAGCATTATACAGGGGTATTTCACTACAAACACAAGCACAGTGACATCAGCTACTGAGGTAGATGTGGTTCATGGACTCAGAGCACTGAAAAGGTGTTTGTGTGAAGCACTCTGTTATCTTACACTTCAGAAATGGCTCGGCTGTGTGCTCTGGTACTACAGACACATACCACTGTGAGATAACAAAACACTCCCAAAGATACTAAAAACACAGAGGATGACCACCAGGCTGAGCATGTTCAAACATGACCAGAGACTGAAATGAGGAGACAGCTGTGAGTTTCTGTTTTGTTTTTACAGAATCTATTTTTAAAATACCCATGTCAACCAGAGAGGGCAGTCATTTACCTATAACGACTAAACAGCCATAATGTCCTCCCTCTGATTTCAGCACCATCACTGTGGACTGAAAGAAATGACGCTCAGGAGCAGGATTTAACCCTTTAGATTCTGATTGACTCAAAATGTTGTGTTTAAATGCACAAATCCAACGAAAGAATAGGCATATGTTGGTCTTATTCAAACACTGGGGTTGACTACACATAAGTATTGTTATGAAATGTTGTAAGATGCTTCTTAAAATAAAACTAGTGCTCAATATTGTCCTATCATAAACTCGGTCTCTCAGTATTTGTGCTAAAAGACATCTGCTCTGCCCATAATATGCCTCTTTTTTTTGCTTTTCCCCCATTATGACTGCGGATAAAATGTGTTTGCTTAATAATTGACAATTCAAAACCAAAAAATTATCAACAAATGTTTACTTCAATGTGTTTTACTTCTATTCTGTGTCCTTGTTTTCACAGAGGATGACAGAAACCACCCCATGTCTCACCAGATGACGGCAGACTGCAGGAGGAGATGCAGGTAATGAAACGGTTAATTACAGTTAATGTTACACTTTTACCCATTTAAAAATCTTATATTTAATGGTGATATTTTTTCACAGTAGGCCTACTGGTTATTATATTCGATATATCTATATCAAAAAGGTGAAGCTTTTGGTGACTTGGACAGCTTCCTGCAGCTTGATATTAATCTGCATTACAGAATTAACCCTTTGTGCAAAATACATTTGTAATTAAGTAAGATAATATTAATAAAGGGTAAATAAACAAAATGCATGTCTTCGTGGGTTAACCAATCACTGATCTGCAGCAACATGGCCTTTAGTGAATTCACTTTCACATCACACCCAAATGCATTAGGAAAGCCTTGGCTCAAAATGTTGCATGAGTTCAACATTGTTGTGTCTCTATGCTTCAACCACCCATAAGAAAATATAAATGTACAGTTATATTGGGAGAAACATTTGACTTAGTGTAAATAAAACAGAGTCTGTCTAATCAGGAAGTGGCAGGCAGCTCTCACCTGCTTCCCTGCAGTGGAGTGGCCATCTTGAATGTTTTCTAAGATAGCAGCAATGCTAGGCTAATCCACATTTACACATTATATTCTTTTTAAATGATTCCCAAAGTGCGTATTTTATGTTTTCATTACTTATTTGAATGATTTCCTCACACTTCTTCATGTTAAATGACAGTTTGCTCTCTTTTTACAGATCACAGCCTGTTTGGCAGTTGGGACACTTTTACTAAGGAAGTGTACACCCTTGAGGCTGCTGCAGTTTAAACAATAACTATATTAATGAGACGAACATACAACAATGAAGTATCTTCCGGAGTTCTTCTGTTTCGTGAGTACTAAAACAAATAAAACAGCCTCTCTCCTAACAGCTCAGGCCCAGGCAGCTGCCTTCCTCCAGCTATGGCTCCCCCTAGCCGTGCCTCCATGTTTCCTTGTTAATGCACACCATAATGCCCTGACCCACCCTGATCTATTACACAGCAAATACACCAAAATATACCTCATTTTCTTCGTCTAAATGTGTAGTATATAACCTCCATCTGCCTCTAAGCCAACATTAGGCAGCATTGGTAACAGCAGAAGAGAGGATTTCTTACCTTTTGAGAGTGGCTATGGTTAAACCTCCCTCTCCAAAGTCTCTACTTCGACAGCCTCCTTCTTCTTCCCAGCAATCCCTGCAAAAAAGGACACTTCCATGTAAGTTGAACATGTAGGGGTGATCAAATTGAACTTGACTCATTTGTAAGAGCCCAGAAAGACCTCAAAACCCAGGAATGGCCATTTTGGAACCAAATAGAAATATTCTCCATATTTAAATTTTAAAATGGCATGTTAATGGCATTAAACAGCAAAACCCACTCCTCAAATATACCATGTACCACCCCTATGTTTTCCACTTATTATGGTCCATCCAGTAGTCATACAGTTGATACTGAAGGGCGATTGTTAGTTGGTGCGCAGCTGAACTCTCAGGCGCATTTTGCTGCCTGTTGTGCGTTTGCCAAGCCCCAGAGCGTCTTGTAGAGCCTAGAAATAGACCATTGGTTGTATTTATGAATCAATTGGACCCTTTTCTTGTTAACTGGACCAAAACAACTGGAAGAAAAATATTTTCATGAGCGTAGAATCCAACCAGCCAAAGGGAGCTCTTTGGATCCAAATGGACTTCTCCAAAAGTGCACAGGTGCATCCAAAGGCAGAGAGCCCTTAAAGGCTTCAGGAGGGAAAACAAGTAAGTTTGCCTGACTTAAAATGTAATTATAACAACACTTTTCTTTAAATCTTACAAATTATATAAAAAAATCGAGAGCTACACTCAAATATTTTGGAATTTAAAGTCAATTTTAGAGTCAAATGTACCAAATGGTGCAGCTAGCACTACAGACCGTAGAGTAAATACTTTAACGTGTTTAAAGATGTGAATTACTTAAATATATTTGTGTTAATACTAGCAGTAACAAATCCTCAACAATTGTAATTATGTTCCATTGGACCAACAGAAGCAACAAAAGAGTCAAAACCTGAGCTACAAACGCACCCATTCAGTGCGCCAAAGTAGTCTGGTCCTTTATCCAAACCTGAACAAGCAGTAGTTCAGTCCTGCAGCATAAAAATAGTAAAACCTCCAGAAAATCCAGTGGATGCTTGTGTGGGGGATGACGATGACGACGGTTGAAGCTGTTTTACCCTAAATAAACCTCTATGCAAATTATGTTGGCAGCTGCCAGCAAACCGTTAAAGGACAATCCTGTTCCCCTCAGAGCCTGTGATGTCTGTGATGTTTACGTCGTGTATTACAACAACACGTAGTAGCCACAAATATGATGGGCGTCTGCAGCAGGTTAAAGACCCCGTGTCCCCTCTATCTCTTTCCCTGTGAGATGCCAAGCCTAAGGCAACAGCAACACAACAGAAGCACTGTCCTCGCTATTTGTAGTGGAAGACAACATAGAAATGAAAGGCGAGTGAATTCCGTTAGAAATGACAAAGACCTTGTTATCTGCTCAGAAACGACCGTCCACAACTCATGCTCGGATGTATTCTTGGTAATGAAAAAAAACAGGCGCATGTGTAGCCCATCAGTCAATACACTCCCACAGCCGGAGCTCCAGCCGGACGCGCGCCTGTCCTCATTGTGCTTTTTGCCGCAGCAGCTGTCAAACAGATCATATTTCAAACTGAAGTGCGATGAATAACCTACTCACAGATCCTATATGGTGCTGTAATAACCGCACTTGTGCAACATCAGCTGTGAGTCGGTCGGCGGTCAAAATGCGTAATGTTCAGGTTGGACAAACAGCTTCTGTTGCAAGACGATCTGTCTTTTTTTCCAGCTGGTGGCAGGAGGAGCGCTTTGTTGACATCAATAACGATCTCTGCAGGCAGTGAGTATACACAGCACAAGAGAGAGGTGTGGGTACAAATACGGACTATTAACGTTAATTATATTGAAGGCCTATTTGGGTAAAATATATAGCACTGAGCATAGGCTACTGTATTGTTGTAATTGACATTACACAAGCCTAATATTGTCTGATTTCATTAAATGTGTGAATATTTTAAAATTAAAATAAATATATGGAAATACTGTTTGTCTTTATTGTGCGGAATTTCCAGAAAAAGATACAAAGAAAGCTTTATTTAATCAGGGGTCATTTTGCTTATTTTTTTATCTGAAGTGGCCATGTTGCCACAGAAGCTGTTACATTAGTACATTAGTTTTAGAGGGCCTCAGAATGTATGTATTCAATCATATGATAGTAAAAAAAAGTAATGGTATGATATGTTAAAAGTATAGTACATTTCTACTGATATTGTCGACATATACTATCAAGTAAGTAAGTAAGACATACTATGTTTTTTTTAATATATATATATTCCACATACTATACGTTTTTTTTTCAGATATTTTCAACATACTATACTAAGACTTTTTTTCCGGCAATTTAAGCTATGTTTTTTTGTCATTTATTCTACATATGATACCATCATTTATTTTTGTTTAAATTATTAGAAACACTATACTATACGTTTTTGTTTTTTTTAAGTTGTGACATACTATACTTTGGCCTTTTCATTATGTTTTTGACATACTAATCTATAACTTAATTCAACATGCTATATTACTTTTCTCACATTTTCATATTTTTTGACATGCTTTCCTTTTATAATTGTCTCATATTTCTGTGCCACTATCCTATAACATCCTGTAGCCTACTACTTTCTTTCCTCTCTTTCGACACTATACTCGGTCGTTTTATCTGATAATTCACTTATTCACATCCTAAAAAAGCCAGTGAAGTATGTCCTCATTAGACAAGTCTTTTAGAAATGTCAAAATATTGTACAGCATGCCATTAAAAGACTATTGAACAATTGCATTTAAATTATGTTTAAAAAAAAATAAGCAAACAAACTAGTCTTCCAGTATTTGTTATTTTTTATTTACACAGAAATGTTAAGCACATAATTTGAGCACTACCTTCATTGTAGTTACATATGTTTGACTCCAGGGGCGCTATATTAATGCAGATGCTGTTACATGAGTACTACTTATAAAAAGCTTTACATCGCCCCAGAATATATTCATTTAATCACTTGCAGTCATACTTTCCCACAGGCATGCAATGCAGCATGTTATAATGAAGAAAATAATAAAAGGGTGATCAATTTTAATCTAAGTGACATAAATGCACTGTTGATTTTAGAGTTAGTGGCAGAATTCAACTATGAAGAAAAACACAGATTAATGATTTCAAACATTAGGGTGCATACTATTTTAATCATATCAGAAGACCTGAGACCAATATCAACATCAGTACAAACCGTCAAAAATAGTATTTTTACTTTACACAATGAAATCAATATTGAGATCATAGAAAATGTATCAACAGCTTCCCTGTCTCTCAGCTGCACATGATGCCTCCACTGTTAGAGTGGGACCCTTCCCTGCTGGGTCCCAGTGTTTCTCTGGACGGCTCCACGTTCTGGAGGTGAGGGTACTGTGTGGGCTCCGTCTGGTGGTCAGCATTTTTTCGGGCATAGTACTTCCTGGACGCGGCGCTCCACGCCTCCCTCTGCAGCGACTGAGACTCTTCAGTCTGCGACCTCCTTCCCTCATCGACAAAAGAGATCGGCTGGGAAAACTGGTTATCGGTAATGTGGGCGAAGGGGCCAGACCTTTGGGGGAAAGGGGCTGACCGTGAAGGGAGGAAGTTGGGCCGTGGGGGGAAGGGGCCCGAGCGTGAGGGATTTGCCTGCTGGCGGGCTACTTTTCTGGCATAGTAGCGTTTGGAAGCTGCTCTCCAGGCGGCCCTCTTCAGACTCTGAGCCTCCTCCTCCCGCTCAGATGTTGGCACGCCCTGATTTCTGTTCCTGAGGAAGTCAGAAAGGATCACACAGATTAGTTTTTTTTAACCCTTATCCAGCCTGTTATGTGACATAACATATAATCTCATCATTTCTTTTTTTAATGTTTTAATAATAGTTAAAAGATTAGCCGAATATCCAATTAGTGGATCAAGAGAAAACAAATCGATAACTGCAACAATGGAGTCATCATTTAAGTTATTAATCAAATAGAGTAAAAAAAGTAATGTGTAAGGATTTTTTAAAAATGTTCTAACTTTGGGTTCTGTAATAAATAAACATTCATGGTAAACATCTCTCTTGTTTACAGTCTACTATTGAACTGTCCTATCTAATAGAGGCAACAATGCCCAATACATATGGATACATTGAAATAAGAGAAATAAAAAAGGAATTTGAAAAGTGTCTTTCAAATTGAGATGGGAAAGTGTTTGTATAAATTATTCATGAAATATCAGTATTGAAAATAGTCCTCAGGTGCCACAGTTGAACATGCTGATTTTAAAACTATGAACTATTAAAAACAGAAGTATACAGAATATAGTTGAAATAATTATCCAAAGGAAGACTTGGGGTTGACTTCTAGGTACAAATCTAAATTAGTTCAATTGTCTTATATTCATTTGGCTAATCTGAATTAATTAACTCACCTGAGGTCTTCTTCGTGAGGGTTGTAATGTCCTCCTGCATCTGCATGAGGTCTCTCCCCAAACGTTCTTCTTTCTGTGTTCTCCATTTTGTCTTAAGGGATCAGAAGGAATAAACAATTGCTCAGTCATACAACGCCACAGACAATGACAGATTTAGACAAGCTTTGTCTTTACAAGGCTGGTACACAGAGCTGGGTCTTATTTGAAAATAATTCATAACTTTGCATAATCTCAAAGAAATACAGTTTTTAAAAATCCACTTTGCTAAACATATGTTTAGTTTTTTACAATAAGCCAACATTCTTGAATGCAATAATGAGGAGTGCTATCCCTATTTAATAAAAATGTAATAGTTTAAATTAAGCTACAGTCAGGAAATATCTGACTAGAGAGTCATGTATTATTTCAAGTAATCAAGTATTTTGATGCCAATACTTGATTATTTTGAAGTCTGATGCCCAGTGTTACAAAACGTGGCATTGGTGCAACATAAAACAAGCACGAATTGAGAGTTCATTTTGTTTATGTAACGTTGTAAATATTCACGTTAAATAGGATAAAAGGTATTTTACCTTTTTCAGTTGGGCTCTCATTGTCGTGACACTGACTGCCTGTGCTCTCCTGATGCTCCTCGAATCTCTCGTCACTAATTTCCCAGTTTATTAAAACTGTGTCGATATCACACGGCTCCTCTTTGATGACGAGGCTGCTGGGAGATGTAGGCAGATTCCTGGCTTCGTCGAACACACCTGAAGTCTCTGAGGAGTGGGATGTGCAGGACTGGTCCAGACCCACTCTGCTGGGGGAAGATGGAAGAGCCGACTCGTGGCTTTGGGAGGACACGTGTGAGGGGGGTCTGGCAAAAAGACCCACTGTGAAGAAAAACAGCCATATTGTTTATATTTTAAAATATGATCCGAAGCTTTTCACAGTTCTCAGACAATGCAGGTGTCAAGCCCAGTCTGTAAATAAGATAGGGGTAGCACCTCTAAACTTTCCACAAATGGGAGAAGTAAGGTTGGATAAAGTAAAAAACGTGAATTAAATATTATAAAAAACATCGAAAGACTGCCCTGAAGTTTAGGTCGCCTTCCTCTTAATGAGTTTATCTCACAAAAAAATAAATAAAAGGCTTTTTCTATTTTATTTAGCAGTTTTTTTTTCAAAAGTCCCATTTCTTTCAAAAATGTCCACGTCATGTGACAGGGATTCCAAGTGCAACCTGATCCATGGTGATTGTATGTTGAATATTCATACTAAAACGGTACAGTAGTTATTATTATTTTAACCATGAATCTAAGACTTACAACAGCAAAGTATGGTGGCTCTGAAGGTCAAAACACAACACACGTGTACTCCAATACATTTGGTTTAATGATGTGGAATATAAACACATTAATAAGACTTTAGTGACACTTGGAGTATCATTCACAAGCTTTTCTGCAGCACACAAAGTAATTAAAACTAGCTGCACCTTAACCAGCTTGGATAACACTTTAATGCATCAATAATTATAATCAAAACACAATATATTACTCCGAAATTACCACATCTGCATAATAAGTACTGTGCTTTAAGTACTTTTGGATGCTTATACTTTTGTATATTTACACTTCTGTATATTTACTAGAGTAACCTTTTGATTGCAGGACTTTTATACTTGTCACACAGTATTCCTACATTTAGTTGCTTCTAATTTGACAAGATCTGAGTACTTCTCCCCCCTCTGGTGTTGCTCTAAAACTCGAATATGAACTTGTGTTTACTTACATATGTCACACTCCTGCTGCTCTGCTCTCTTCTCAGGGTGGCTGCAGCTCTGTGGTTCACCGGAGGTCTGAGATCCCAGGAGGCTGTGCTCTTTTCCAAACCCCCCGCAGGTGCATCCCGGTGTTTGAAGCCCCTGCAGCTCCTGCTCGACCTCCGTCAGCCTGCCCTGCAGTCGCTCGATCTGTTTGTCCCTGTCGGCCACCGTCCGCTGGTACTCCCGAGACCTGGCGCTGTTGACACCGTACAGCACGTTTATTATCGAGTCCACTGCCAGCCTGATGGCGTTTTCCACCACAAGAGCTTCCTCATCGTGCATGTGTGGGTGCATAGTCTTGTTTTTGACCAAATTCATCTTCACTACCAGGTTAGCAAAGCTGTTAGGAGAGCGTCAAAGAGGATCAGACGCTGAGCTCGATGAGACACCGTGCACAAACGCTGCTTAAAGTTAATAAAGTCCCATTAAAAACTAGATTTAAAGGCTTTCCCGTGGTGTAAACAAGCGTCAACACTACAGAAGTGTCTTTAGCTAACGTTGAATCAGCAACTCTAGCGGTTTGCTTCCTGTGTCGTGTACTTCTTCGGCACATCGCAGTCTCACACAGCACCCCCTGGTGGGTCGTATGACTGCTCATACTGGTATTATAGAGCCTTATTAGTGATTGTATGGACATAAACAATATTGGTATTAATTGATCATTTAATCATTGTTTTGCATCACATGCTCCAAACAATCAACATAATAACTCAGAAGTGTAAGGTCACCCTCCAGCAATCATCAGAAAGACATGATACAATACAAGCACCTCCAGAAATACTGATGGACTGATTGAAATTATTATTTATTGATCTCCTTGGGAAATGATATATCCTGAGCATCTTCAAAACAGTACTTTCCTCTCAAAATACATTTGTAGTTTATTCTCATCGTTTATCTTCTTTAATAAGTGAAGATAAAGTAAAATCACAGGCAAATAAAAAACATGTTGCTTTTTTGTGTGTGTTTAAAGTCAGCAGTTCAAACCACACACATTCAGGTCATTACATTCTGCGGTCAGTATTGCTAATGTGTCAAGTGTAACAAATGTAAGTAAGCCAAAGCAGAGGGAGTGTATACAACAATAAAATGCAACTGGTTCATCTATGATGCAGGAAATTCAAACCACAAAACACACACATACTTGCAAAATAAAAAGTGCTATCTGGGACAGGTCAAACGTGTGTATGCGAGCACACAAGCATCAAGACTGATTATGATCTTTTCCTGCGATGCAATATAAAGCCATTATAGTCAGACACATTTGGATGAACCAACTCTCATCTTTTTGCAGGGAATCAAAAAATTTGCTGCTTCATCTGGATACTAAAACAGGAGCAAAGCCTTCTGCTGTTTTGTTGAGAATGCAGTAATCATTACAGTAACACGGTGGTGGGATGTCCTCCACAGGACTGTTTGGTAAACTGCACTCTGGGCTCTGGGTCGGATCCTCACAGCCAGAGTCTGCACAGCTGATGTTTAGGAAATCTTCAGGTGGAGAGGAGGCAACCTCTTTCTCTCCAACGGCGACCCCCCACACAGAGGAAGGGAGCTGGGTGTAAGACGTGTCTCCTGGATAGATCATAGTTAAAGGAGGGCAAGCCTCATGCACACCGGGTAAACCAACATAGGAGCTATGACCCTGAGTGAAGGTCAGATGGACTGTAGGGTTGTGATAGTCCACGTTCTCTTCTGGCTCCTTTGTAATGGGTTTCGGCACAACAATCACATCATCGGTTGTCAAGATCTCCTCAGTTTTGTATGCTAACACATACTTGCCTTTAGGTGAAAGCCATTCCTAAAAAATCAGAAGCATGGAGATACATTAGGCGTGATAAAGTCATTTTCACACATGTAGTAAACGTACAGCTAATGTTAAAATTAATCAAAATTATATATTCATAATTAATACATTGGATCAATTGAGTTGATATTTGTTAGCCATATTGCAATGTTGTCTGTTGGTCAGTAAACCACAAAATATCTGATATTTGGTTCACATATTCATGGTGGACTAAAGGTAATCCCTAATGATCCCCTGACTTTTCATCCAGGTCAACATGGATGTATAGTGAAAGAAGAAGAAAATCAAAGGCATTCATTTGACATGGTGTTTAGTGTTAGCAAGTAAACACAAACAACTAAGATGATCATGGTGAATAGTGAAACTGCCAATCATCGGCATGTTAGCATTTTCATTCTGAGCAGGGAAGTGTAACACTGTAATGCATTTAGCAGAAAGCACTGCGGTGTCTAAGTACAGCCTCACAGAGACACTAACTTCCCTATGGTCTTTTTAAAGATGAAATACCTTACAGATTATTACACAAACTCTTTTAGTAAACCGAATGCTTGCGGGCATTCTCTGTGACTTTTTCCGTGTAAAGTTTCTTAAGTAACACAGCAGTTGAGTAGAAAGGAAATTGCAAAATGTATAATTTATGTGTTGTTATTTCCTTGCATTTGCATCATTTTGTTTTTAAGTATTTCAGACCATTGTATTGCAAGGTATTTCCACTGTGGTAAAGTTGAAATTGAATTACATTTCATGTTAACAACAGACCTCTGGATTACATTTCTTACCTAAGACATTTCCTTAAATAAGACACTAATACAAGAATAAGGACATTGCATTAGCACCTCACCTGGAGATTGCCTCCGTGTTGTTGAAATAATGGTTGAAAGAAAGGCGCTGGGGATGGTGTGTGCGACAATGTCTTTATCTTCATTCTGTCACACAAATCCAGATTAGATTGAGTACATTCCATTTATGCAGAGCACATTTAGGCAATTATGAGGATCTTGAACTTTCCTTTCACCAACATTTGAAAGTGCAGAGGCATTACCTTGCAGTGGGACTGTAGAGTAAAAACAGCATGACTCCAACAGCCACACACAGCGGGACCAGAGATTTGATCAAAATGACTAATGTGTTATCTTGTTCTGAGAAAGTGTATTGAAATAATACAGAATTAGTAAATCATACTACAGAGATGACTGTAAGTCTATAAGGGGGCTGGTGAATCTTTTGCATTATTCTACAAAGCTATTGATACAGATCTTTGAGACTCAGACTCAAGTTATTCATAAAATATACACATAGCGCAATACAGCTAAGAGCAGACTTAACATGTACAATATATCTGAATATCAGTGACAGTCAGTGCTGCAAAACCTTTGTGATACTGAAAGAGTGTCATGTCACCTTCTTCTGCTTCAGTTTTCCAGCATGTCGATGGACTCCATTTACTCCAAATTCCATCATAATCAGCATGATTAGTTTTAGATCTCACTTTAATGCAATATGTAGCACCTGGTTTAAGTTCAGACCTTGGAATCGGTTCATACATCTTTTGTGAAGTAGCTTTAAGGGTCTGGGGAAGGGTTAAAACAATAAAACAAATGAATCATTTTTAGATATATCATACAGTATAGCAAAACATGTTGTCAAAGTATTATTTATGATACTGGTCTTACCTTGCTCTCAGTGCTTTGAGATCTTTGAAGTAAGAGTTCAAAGTCAAGGGCAGTATTGAGGTACATGTGATCTTCGTACCCACTTATCCAGGTGATGTTGAAATTCTCTGGTGTTCCTTGGACCTCAGGTGTATGCGGTGGTGTCGGCTGAACTGATTACAAACACATTTATAAAAACATAAACTATGTGAATGCTTCCAATATATACAACCCATTTTGTAACACAGCTATTTCCTATTATTTGATGTTGGTATCTCTCCCTAATATAAGTAATGTACTGTAAAATATCCTAGTTTCTTGATGTTCTGTAATGTTCGAATATCACGCAGGCATGTATGAAAAAAGACATCAACACACATATGGGTCACTCTAGCATCAGTTATAAGTTACAATAAACTCATACTTACTGTTATTTGATGGATGAAAGTCCTGTGTTACAGGATGACAGCCAGATTCATAACAAAGAGCTATGTCATAATAATAATCACCGCCTATATTTGAGTATTCCGTTATTTTACAGACACAACTGTAAGTATGAGTTCTCTTCACAAGTGGACAGTGGTCAGTCGGCCTAGAACATCAAAAACAACAAAAGACCATTAATGTATGAGTTTGGCACAACAATAATTGCAGTAAAAAGAAGGTAATATTTATCCATATAATCCTGCAATAAGTGCAATTACCCCTCAGTGTCAGTGTCAGTGAATGTCAGGTTGTAGATGGTGTTTGTCTGTCCCACAGGAATACCAGTGATGTTGAAGTCACAAGTAACTGTGTCCCAATAGGCAGTCACACATGAGTATCCATCAACTAGAGTATGAAAGTGGGAAGAAAAAAGATTTAATCGCCATGTACATTTTGACACATTTTATGTTATTAAAAAAAAGTGATTGAAGTTACACAACTGTGTGCTGTCACACAAATGAGTGCTGTCACACACATGTGCAACAGAGCAACATAAAACAATGACTTACACAAACCCTTTACTTTAAAAATGTATGACATGGTTTTTTATCCGTTGGATTTTTCTTTTACCCATTCGTAATATATGAATATATGATTATGTGATTATATATATAATATATGATTATATGATTTTTTTACGGGTATGAACTTTGTTATGATCTGTTCTGTTATTTGTAGGACAGAATTAAAAGTATCCGCAATCCATATTGGATCATTTGTATTATTTTGGTGTAGTTATTTTACAGGACACTATCAGATATGTTCAGAGGGTAAATGCCACGGAGATCTAAAATATGATAACTACTCACTGCTTTTTGAACTATCATCATCCAAAAAGGTCGGAGCCTCTGGACTAACCTTTAGTAGGGTATCTCAATAAATAAACTTGTCGACCCAGCTGTCATTTTTTAAGAACACTACTTGAGTAAATGTACTTCCCATCATTGACGCAAAAAAAACACATCACATCACTTAATCATAGATGACAGCCAGATAATATAATGATGAAATCATTTCTAACGTTTGACATTTCCCTCAAATCCCCTAATTTGCCATACGCTGCCTTATTAAATAATTTCCCACAATAGAAAACATCTATGTGATCAGACATGTGAGCGGTACCTCTGATGCAGCTGGTCACTGTCAGGATGCTGGAGATCCAACACAGGAACAGGAGCTTCAGAGACTTCATGTCTCCATTGATGAAAGTATCACACTGTGGATATTAATTTAACTTTTCTTATTATAGTGTATTTTTTGAATGTATTAGTATCAGTAAAACAAATCATGTATCATTCCAGTACACCAACATTAGCAGTAATATATCACTCTGTATACACCTTAAATACAACCCATTTACAAAAGAATATACCTCAAGTTTAGATTTTTTGAAAAAGACAAGAAATATAACATTTGCCATGTGCTCTATGATGTATAGTGTATGGAAAAGTGCTTTTACCTCGGGGATGTCCTGACGTGTTGATGTCTCAGATGGTGAATGAGTGGTGGAACTGAGGTTCACCTTATCACCGGTAGCGTCACAGGAAGTCAAACCATTTTTACGTCACAGTTTTTTTTCATCTTCTACCTTTTTGGTGTGGTTATGGGCACATGCTCTTGCTTTTGATCATAATGCCAGTGAAACATTTATTTGCAGCATTGCCACCTTTTACTAATATTATTTTAAATCGTTGTCCTTTTGTGTCACTTATTTGTAATAATGTTTTTGTTGTACTGGATTTTATGTTGTAATTTCAGATTTTTCAAGCCCAAAAAAACAGACTTCCTTTGCCTATTTCTCAATTTGATGTTTTGATGAAGGTGGGAAAGAGTGGTAACTAAATTGTGTACTGCACAAAATATAACTCATATAATACTCAACAAACCAGTCAGTGATTCTAACAAATTTTGTGAGAGCATCTGTATTCAAACCTCCATTAATTCCTTAATCTGTCACCTACATATACTGACAAAACACACAGTACGAAGAAGAAAGGAAAAACACGAAAATAATACCTAAAATAAAAAAACAACTCATTATTATATTGACTCTTTATTGAGTGAGTGACTGAGTGACTAGAAATAGAAAACTAGAAGAATTTATGGGAAAGCAATAGCTTCCGCTGCAATAACAACTGGACCAATATTACGTAACGTCCACACGGTTCCGTCGCGTGCTTCAACGGAGACGCTTCCCATTCATTTGAATGGGGTGAACTGCATTGTGGTTCCGTCGCATCACTTTGCCTCTGTTGCTCGCTTCAAAAGTTGAGAAAAGTTCAACTTTTCAAGTGTCGATGGAAGCGCCAGTCTATCAAATCATATGCCAGTACAAGCGCTAGCCAATCAAACCGCGTGCTTGTGTGTCCGGGGCGGGAGACACCGGCGCCAGACACGCCCACCGGCAAGCTTCAACGCAACGGAACCGTGTGGACGTACCGTTACTGTGCAACATAATATATATGTGGACGGTAATCAAACACTTTATAAAACATATCAACATCATGCAATGTACACACCTTATGTACATGAACACATATATTTATAGGCTACATGCAGTACACTTAACTTGATAGTTTAATTGTTCTCCATGTGAAACTCTCTTGTGGTGCACCCCAAGGGTTGTTTATGGGCCCCATTACTTTCTAAATCTACATGCTTTCCATTGGTCACATAATAAGCCATTAATATATTGATTCCTTTGCACAGGAACATATCTCTCAATGTCGACCCAAATGATTTAAGATATTGATTGGATATATTTTTTCTCCAGTTTAATAGGGCTGAGATGTAATATAATTACAGCTGTTCAAAGTAAAGTCACATTCTTTGCATATTAATTTCAGATCTGACCACTAAAATGTAGTTGCATTTCAACCTTATTTTTACATCAGTACCTAATCATTTAATGTTGAAGTGTTTTGCCTATTGTGTATGTTTGACCTTCACTGTGAATGATTAGTTATTAGAGTTTTAGACATTAGTTCACCACAACATCTGTCAGGGATGAGCGAAGCAGGCAGGACCCAAACACAGATTTCTCAGAAAAAACACCTTTATTCCAAGGCAAAATGAAACCAAACAGAACTCTTCCCCGTGAACAACATCAAACTACAACAAGGAACTCACAAAGACTAACAGAAAACACAGAACCTAAATGCACACAGGACTAATCAAACAAACAAGAGACAGGTGAGGAGGGAGGAGAAAACACAGGGGCACCATGGTGAACACAATCGGGTAATCAGGGAGGGAAAACAGACAGAAAGCAACAGGCAAGACAGAAGGTGAACACTTTTCAAAATAAAACAGGAAACCAAAGACAGAAAAAGACAAGACAAAACACAACACAGACAGATCGTGACAGCATCAGAAGCTGGAGTATGACAAATACAACAAAAAGAGGGATCTATACGCTTTCACATCTAAGAATCTGTATATAAACACTTCTTATCTTTTCCTAAACCTGTCGAGGTAATATAAACCCAAATTGTTTTCTTACCTCTGACAATTGATTGTTGATATTTGCTTTGTTCGCATGTCCCCGTTTTTAAATACTCTTGTCAATATTTATATAGATTTTACTGATGAAAAAACAATATTCATTGCACCAGAAGGTAATTAAAAGTATAGACAATTGCAGGCAGAGTGTTGTAATGTAGGGTATGTATGTATGTAAGTCGCTTTGGATAAAAGCCTCTAACAAGTGACATGTAATGTAATGTAATGTAGGGGGACAAACTTGTATTTCAACATCAATCAACACAGTGAGACAATAAGCTGTCAGGGAAATTCTGGACTTGGAAAGTAAATGAGGAACAGTTCCCCCTCCCACTACAACAACAACCATAAGGGGGATTTTCAGTAGGAAAAATAATCGTACACTGTTAGAAACATGTTTATCAGAACCAAAAGCGCAAAACTCTTAAATATACCTACAGTATGTTATGTCGTACCAACTACAGTGCCTATAATAAATAGTCATATTTCCTGAGTTGAATTACGAAAATACTCCACCATAGTGTACGTGAAGTAACTATATACATCTGAAACATGACATTTGGTAATAAAAACAACAACAAATAGGCAAATATTCTCTTCATAACTTAACGTTCAAGAATAGATTGTCAAAGCGAGTGTTTTTCCACTTCCTTCTGATGAACGGGGTAAAGGCCAGAGAAATAATAATCTTGTTTTTTTACAGATAATGAACACTTGCTACAAGTTTGCTTTTTTTACTGATGTTGCAAAATAACAGGACGGATGGTTACAGTGGTTAGTGAGAAAATGCATGCACGAGAAAAACAGACATAATCTGACATCTTGATAAGGCCACATTCATGCGTGTGAATGAAGCATGCAAGACAATGAGAAAATGAAGCTCCTTTAGACAGTGATAAAATAAACAGAACATTTCCTCCAGCACTTTGAATACACATCTATGAATCTATGAGTGCCCACAAATAAATGTCCTCTTTCTTGATGCTTTATTATGATCTATCAATAAATTGTGTTTCTTTATAAAAGAAGCAATACATAACTTTAAATGATGCAGAAAAAAGGGGAAAATCAGTTCATTGTATTTGGAAATGTAAAATGTCTAACCTGGGGGGCTTCTTTTTCTTTAAGAAACACAATATATACAAAGAACAAAGTTCACAGCTAACTGATGAACAGTATACAGAAGTAAATGCTGAGCTGATACTGCCAATTTACTTCAAATCAAAGTGTATTTTATGGAAATGTCAACAATTATGTCTTTTAAACCTTAAATGGGCACTCAATATTTGTGAAGATTATTGCTTGCTATTGTCTACATTGCATCCATATTACACTCTATATACATCCATATTACACATGAATACACCTCTATTACACCATTAATACACTTCAGTCAGACAACTCACGTGTTCCTTTAACATGTTTATTAGAAGCAGCATATAGTTGAGTTTGGCGACTAGGCTCGGGCATCATCACTCCATAGATATACATAGCACGATGAGTGATGATCAAATAACTAACCCCCGAGCCTACAGGTGGAAGCTGGGGTGGAAGCTGGGGTGGAAGCTGGGGTGGAAGCTGGGGTGGAAGCTGGGGTGGAAGCTGGGGTGGTGGTGGGGCAGCAAGCAGCAGCGACGTAGAGGTAGCTGCAGCAATAGCAGCAGCAAGCAATGCATGGAGAGAGATCTGGCAGGTTAAATAGAGCGGCATATGAAGGAGACTCTGTTTGGTTGGTTGTAGAGTGGCAAGGGGGCGTTATGTATGAATGCAGCATAAGTGCTCGAGTTGACTGCCTGAACTAGCTCGCAGGCTTCGCCCCATCTGTATTACAGCCATATTAATCGATTATTACACCCATTTTACACCATAATTACACCAACATCGCACCCTAAACCCATGTTACACTGTTATTAGACCCATATCACACCCATTTTACAGCAATATAACACCCAAATAACACCGTAATTTCACTCTTATTACTCCCATATTACACTATTATTACACCCATGTTACAATATTATTACACCTGTTATACACCCATATTATACCCATGTTATAGCGATGTTACTGTTATTGCATCCGTTATTAGACCCAAATTACATCCATGTTACACCAACGTTAACCCCATATTACACTGTTATAACATTAATTTTTACAAAGCGACATATCCTGTCAGATTAATACATCGCCCAGGATAATAGGAAGTTAGTGGGTGCAGTACTACTTGATTTTAGTTCTGCTTTTGATGTCATTGACCATTCTTTGTTGTTACACAAGCTGGAACAATATGGTTTTAATTCTGATACGCTGAGGTGGTTAGAAAGTTACCTGACAAATTGAAGTCAAACTGGTTTTTTTTCAATGGAAGTCTGTCAAAGATGAAGACAGTCACTTGTGGAGCACCTCAGGGTAGTTGATTGGGACCACTTTTATTTTCTATTTTTACAAATGACCTACCATTAGTGTTAGAAAAAGCCAAAATTGTAATGTATGCAGATGACTCAACAATATATTATGCAGCATCGACTATAAGAGAGTTGACAAATGTTATGAATAAAGATCTACAACTGATATCAGAGTGGGTCATATATAATAAGTTAGTACTTAATGCTGGAAAAACAAAATCTTTATTAATAGGATCAAATCATCAGTTAAAAGGTGAACTAAAATTGCAACTACATTTAAACAATATTCAAATTGAACAGGTCAAGGAGACACAATTGCTAGGTATAACCCTGGATCATAACTTATCTTGGTCTAAACAAATTGATAATGTTGTAAAAATGGGAAGGGGTGTGTCACTTGTAAAAATAATTGTAAAATATTTGCCAATAGATGTCAGTAGACAAGTTCTGGATGCTTTGGTTCTGTCGCAGCTTGATTATTGTTTGGTTATATGGTCTCGTGCTGCAGAAAAAGTAGCACAAAATAAGGCAGCACGATGTGCACTGCAGTGCTCCTACAGAACCACAGTAACTGAAATGCTGGAGACACTGAAATGGTGTCAGACAGAGGTCTAATTATATTTTGTTACATTTTGTCAGAAATATTACAGTGACTCACTCACCACATATATTATCACAAAGGTTTATAGCGCAGTATGCTCAACATAACTATCAAACACGACATACAATAGAAGGAAGGTTTGTATTACCCAAATCTAAATCAAATAAGGGACAGAAAACAGTCATGTACAGAGCCATGGTCAGCTGGAACTCTTTACCCATCCATATCATTCGGGAACATTCTCAAGTACATTTCAAAAGGTTGCTAAACATTTTTTAAAGTATTATAAAGTACATTTGAACTGTGCCTGTGGCTATGTATGCATATATTATTATGTACTCTTATTTGTATTTACTTTTGTTTGGCCTTAGGATGGCGATAATTGGATGACCATTTTAGTTTTCATTTAATACAGCACTGTAAAATTCCATGAAATTATGAGCTGTTTTGTTTTGTTTTAATTTTGTTGTATGTATGTTTATGTATGTTTTGTGTGTGTGAGGACCCCAGGAAGAATAGCCAATGCTCATGCTAGTGCTAATGGGGATCCTAATAAAGACACAAGACATAAAGACATACAGAAAACATTTAAGGGTTGAATACGTGTCCCACAGTGATGATGGCAGTAAATCAGCAGAACAATCACTGTGTTTCGTGAAGTTCGTTCTCTGAGTTGCTGGAGCCTTCTTGTATAGAGCCACATATCATCCACTGTTTGACATAGTTAGAATTGGAGCTGTTGTGATCATGAAACAATTCAGTGTCCATCTGCTCTGCCATGTTTGAGTCTGAGGCTCCAGGGCTGCTGCACTCTCCAAATCCACTGTCAATAGTGTCCAGGTCCATGCGAGGGTAGCCATCTTCTGACTGCTCGTTTGAGGCGAAAGAGACCAGTGATACCCTCTCTGGTTCAATAATCTGAGCAGGCGGCTGAAAGTTTCTATTTTCCTCTAATAAGTCATTAGATATTCCATGTTGTGGTAATAACCCACTTTGCCTATGAGGTTCTTCTAAATCATATCGAGCTTGTTCTCTGTTGTCCCCCTCAAATGAACCGATATGTTCTCCATCTTGGTAACTTCTGAAGGTGTTGACTGAGCTCTGTGACACCACTTCCTGCTCAAACTCTTCTTCTCCAGACAGCGTTACAGTATGGATGGAGACGTGTCCTGTGGAGTGACCGGCGCCCTGTGAACTGCCTCCGTCCTGGAAGAACAGCAGCGAGTCGCTGTTTGGCTGCAGCATGTGGAAGAGATCAACACCTCCATTCATCCCGTTGCCCTCCCTGTTACTTTGCTTCTCGTTGTTCCATTGAAGGACTTTGGGCTGCTTCTCACTAATCATCTGAGCATGAGAGTTGATCCTCACGTAATCACACTCGCTGAAGACAGGCTTCACCCACTCCTGCAACAATTAAAGAAAAATAGAACATTAATTTTGAAAATCAGGGGCTAGCGGTGGTATATTGGTTAGTGTAGTCAGCATATTTATTTTATTTGATGTAGTTTGTTAGCTTGCCACTGGAAGCTGACATTATGTTAGTGGTTGTGTAACAGACAATAGTATATTTTGGAAGGTATGGAAGGAAGCTACATCAAAAACAGTCAATTTCACTGCTATAAAACTCTTGCTTTCTGTGATCTCTGATCTGCCCTTCAGAATAATGTGAATAATGTGTGAACATCTCTCTTATAATAGACTTTACTCAGATACATGTTGGTGTAGTCAAGGATATATTAGGCAACATAAGAACATGGAGGGAATCTTTAAACCCTAGAGACACGAGAATGGTTCTGATCTTCCCTTCGATCTCGCTGCAAGAGAGGAAATGACACACGTGTGACACACTTTGATAAAAAAAACTTGTCTTTAAAGTGCATGAGGGCAACTTTATACCTCATAAATGGAAATAACCTACTCCTTATCTAATCACTTTTTTTTTACCACTCTTTCTGCTTGTTTGAAGTGTGGGACACTCGGGCAAGTACCTAAATGTATTTATTAACGGATGATTTCACAGTGTTCAGCAGGATACATCAGAACATTAAGCTACTATGATGAAGGATCATATACATCTAATAATTAGGCCGGTACGGACACAACAGGATGCTGAAGTATAGGAAAATATTTCTTGGGTTATCTGAAGTGAGAACATCAGTTAGTGTCTGAAATGTTGTTTTGTTTCAACACGGTTTTTATAATAATTAAACGTTCTTGATTTACACTGAATATATTTATATTTCAAGCAATAAACAGGAGTATTTTCAGTGAGTCCAGATGTGAAAATGATGTGGACATATTGCAATGATTCACTCCATTATGAAAAGAGACCATTTTATGTTTTGAAATCAGTTAAGTAGGTACAATTGTGATTTTGACTTTAATGTATATTGTATGCGACTCTCCCCACAACTCTGTTAACTTTCTGCAGCCATATATAGTCTCCATTCAGCAAAGTGATGACCAGATAAGCATGACTCCGTTTTCATATGCAAAAGCCACCACATCCTGAGCTACAGAGCTCAACAGCATCTCTGAAAGGTAAGCAGTCTGCACCACAAGACTGAGATAGTGCAGTCAAACTAGAACAAAAGGGCGAGCTCAGTTTTTTGAAGAGATCTTGAAGATTTGATATAGAGGGATTATGTATATAAATATACGTGTGTATATATATACATAATCACATATATATATATATATATATACGTGTACATATATATACATACACAGCATTTTTTAAGAGTAAAGAGCATTATACTTCAAAGCTGTCAAAGCACTACACACCGCAGACCAATATAATGTTGTTTCACTGTCAGTAATACACAGTTACAGATTTAGGATGATGTATAAGTGCGTTTTGGGAAATTCAACAGTTTGATGAATTTGAGAGTGCAATATTCACATTCTAGCGCACTATCTGTATTTAAAGAATGATTTTTAGGTCCAAACACTGGGGCCTACATTTTTATTCCTCTCAAAATTGTGGACCAAAAGTGGACTACAGATTACTGTCAACATCTTATTCCTTTTAAATTTGTCTTATTTCCACTAAATTCCTCAAAAAAAATACATGTTAGAACAGCCCAGGTAAAAGAAGCCATTTCATTTACTCCATGTAATAATTTTATTTAATTCACTTGCCCTTTCTGACATCATTTGCCTTTGTGCCACAGACAATATCTAATTTCACATATTGTTCCATACCATATTACTATATTATATATATTATTATGTTTTTATTTACTAATTGTCTGTTTTAAACAAGCTTGCCTTACCCCATTTCAGGACAAAGTATTTGAAATTGATTCAAATGAAAGCAGAACTTTGTCCTCATAAGGCTCAGTTAAGCACTTTTAAAAGGCTACAAAAGCTACCTCTCCCTTTCAGTACTTCCTCTCTCAAAGCATGGTTTCTATGTTTATTTGATGCAGTAGCGCATTCTGCTGACCAATGCTTGTAACTGCACTCAGATTTTAAACTCGTGTTTGGAGCTAGACGTAGTAACAACGTGACACTACGAGCAGAATACTCCAATACACATTGGATGATATTACAGGGGTGACGATAAAGATACGGTATTTAAACAACACTCAATAAATCATATAGGAACATGATGATGGCACAGGTGACACTAGAGGCATTTATTGTTCTTTCCACTGAACCTAAACTGTGAGATGAGTTCAGTATACAAGTGTGAATATACTATAGGTCTTTAATTCCAGGAAAAGATTACTTAAAAGTTACTTCCAAATATTAAGATACAGTATGATACCAGACAACATCTCTGGCACACCCCTGATGATAATCATAATAATAATACTGTGGTACACTGTATCAAACTTGAATAGTTTGTAAAGTAATTTTTTTATAAAAAATGTAACTGAGTAACAGTAACACATGCAATGAGTAATGTGTGTTTCTTTTAAATAGTAAGGTTTGAGTAAAAACATGTGCAGTGACGTTTTGTAGAACATAGAAGATGCAGTTTTTCATAGAAAATAACAATCAGTCTTTCTTTGGGTGTCAAAAGATAGGAAATATATATTTACATAAGGTGATGGAAAAGATAATGGTTAAAAGGTAAGCTTAACAATAACAATTATAACCCACATAATTCTCCCTCTGTGCCCCAGGTGGAAAACAGGCCTTTTTTAGACTGACAGAATGCACCAGGGGTATTTTCCACTGGGGTGGAACAGGCTGTGATACACAGATATCAACCCACAGCATGTCAGACAGACAGGGAAACAAATGGCCTCTTGAAGCCCCTGCACACTGAGTCATTCAACCCATAAAGGCCTTACATGTGAAGTCAAGGGAAAGTCCCATCAAGCACGGTCCAGATGTGCTAAAAAACCCCTGTAGGGCAACACCTGCTGGGTATTTTGGAAACTACACACACAGTCCAGTTAGTTTTGTTTTCTCTCACCTTGAAGTTCCCTCCATAGCTGAGGTCGAGTGGCTTGAAAAACTCATCTGCTTTGGGGATGAATACAATCTGCTGGAGTTTTTTCTGCCACCACCTGAAACAAATATGAAATGATTTCTGAATTTCTGTCACTTTTGATGAGCTCATTTTGTTTTCAGTATGTGAGGGCAGATTCAAGTGGTGGCTAGGAAGGATTATATCTAACTTGTGTGATCCAAACATTTCCAACAACTCAATGCAAAGTCCTAAAGTCTAAATATATTGAAAAGATAGATTAAATTGATCACTAATAATGATCACTAATAATCTAAATGGATACAATTAATACAGTGGAAATAATGTTGATGTAAAATCTTGCCTTGTTTGTGTTTTTTTGTCGCACCTTCAGGTCACAATGTTTTTACTGACATTTTTTTAAAGAGGGGTTGATTTAAAAAATGTCTCTCAGTACAATTGGCCTACAGTACCAGCTAGCGCTTTGATTCAATACCAATATGGTCACTAATATACTGCTACTTTTTTTTACCATGGTGTACATATCTGCTATTTTGTTTTTGTTTATTTACTTATTGTGCTATTATTAACATTTGCATTAGCCATTTTTATTATTTTTTCCCTCACCTTATCTGCACCATCATGTACATTTCTCCGTTGCAGGACAAATAAAGGATTTCTAATTTCATTTTAGAGGGTGTGGCTTACATTGCTAATTCATTAAAATAGTATTTAGTATTTTTTCATCCCTCATTGATATGAAAGTAGTTGGGTAAATATAAGAAAACGCTTCTAAGTATAACACAATACATATCGACTGTACCACAAAGTGCGGCCTCTAAAATGAGCTTCCTGTTAAATCAACATCCCACATCTTGAAGCAAAAGCTAAATCTAAATATCACACGTCTGCAAAGTGATCAGGACGCCTGTACTGCTGCAACTAATTAGATGAATTGCAAATAGCTTATGTAAGCAGTGCATTAAACAGAACCACAGTTGAATTATTGCTCTCATCATCTTATATTATCCTCTATCAAAGATGGAAACAAAAATGCAAGTTCATTTATTTGTTCAAGCTTATGTTTTTTCTTCACGTGACCGTGATGTGTTTTCAGCTCTCTGATTCTATGCATGACTTCCTATGTCTGCTAGCCATTTTGGTGCAATGTGTTGCATGAAGCACAGCGGTGGTTTCTCTACATGTGGGAGGTGATGCCAGGAACATGTTGATCGAAGCAGAGAGAGAAGCTTCGCTAATCATTTACTGGAAGACAAAGTGCTGTGACCTTAGGATTACATTTGATTTCTCTCAGCTCAGTTCTTTTTTTGTGTAATGACTGCAGATTTAATTATGTGTTGATGCAGTCAACCTATAACACACTTTGTTTATTTTAATTCTGTAATGATAATAGTTCAGTCCAAATGTATTAATGTCTGCAAGTTTGTCCAAATGCGATTAGTAGAATGTCAAAGACGACCAGTTTGACGACAGATTAATTTAGTTGTTGTGGTTGATGGGTTGACATTATAAAAATGTATTGAGTTTGATAAAATGGACAGGTGGATCACTGCTGGGAACTCAGCACTTACGACGCCATGGCTCAAGGCCGTGTAACAGTACTCAGTGTTTACAGTACTCACGATTTTTTGGAATAACCCAGCAACACAAGAAGGACAAAAATGACAGGCAGGGAGATGTACCACCACTGTTCATTCATTCCTGTAAGGGACATATAACATAGAAAAATACATTTAATTGCAAACTATTTTCACACTCTCTGAACTATTTACATGATGAAGTATCATTATGGGACTGGCAGTCTGATCAGTCTGATTTATATTGAGACACGTCTTTTTATTTGAATGGCTTCAGGCTCTTCTACCTTTAATCTCTGAAGTTCCTGTAGTTCTCCATTCTGCACTGGAACTCCACTCGCTCCAAGGACCAAGATAGTGATTATCAGGATCCATTTTGGCCTGAATGTCCACAGTATAGCGCACATGTGATTGGAGCCTCTTACTTTCTAACAGGAAGAACCTTTGTAGTACCGGTGAAAGGGAGTAAACTGGATCCTGTAAGAAGGGAATAAAGAATATAACTTATTTTTTCTTCACAGACAATAATAAACAGCCTGTTGTTTTTGTTTTGTTTTGGGATTTTTGCCCACATATTACCTTTGACAAGTTATTGCTCTCTCTTATGCGCACACTGTATATGAGACAGTCTTTTTTGTTGACGAGGTGCCAGGTGATGTTGTAGAATCCGTCAGTGTTTGTCACCTGGACACCGACAGGAGGCGGAGGTTTCACTGTGAAAGTTAAGCCCCAGGGGGAACAGGGGAATATTATGAAATTGAAAAATGTTTGCCAACAATGCTCTACACCACGCGTGGCAGCTGAGCATTATTTTAGTTTGTTTTAATCTGGAGGGTAATGCAGGTGGGAGGGCGTTTGCTGCCAATTGTGAGGATTACAAAGTATGCTTATAGTCATCTCTGACTCGTATAAACCTTCGATCAAACCAGAAAATAGTTTAATGTATAGTAATTCAAACGAAAGCTGAAGAAGTGGCAGTATTCAACAGGAGAGAAAGCGCTTCAAATATGTCTAATTTTCATATTTAATACACATTAAATATCTCTTAAATATAATCTCAATCTCAATCTTTATTTATTTATATAGCACATTTAAAAAAAAACTCAGTTGACCAAAGTGCTGTACAGGCAATAAATACAATATAAAATAACACAATGGGAGTAAAATAATAAAACAATAATTAAAAACATAATAAAAAGCACAATAACTAGAAACATATAAAAAGACATACAAATGTAATGTTCAAGTAGTATTAAATATATATATAAAAATATGTATAATATTTAAATATGTCTTAAATTTGTAAATAATTCTCATGCTACAAATATTTCAAAAACTACTTCATCATACATGTCACTCGACACGTCATAAGGGATGTAAATGCTGTGACCTTTATTTAATTCTGTGTTATCTTCTTATCTGTTCAGCGAAATGCAAACCACTGAATCTTCAAAATCACATAGGGTTTTTAACTTACCCACATCAGCCAGCCTCCACGGCTCACTGGCATTCACTAAAAGTCGATCATCACCCTGTTGACTGACTGTCGTGGTACACTTGGTTTCAACGTATGCAACATCATCAATGTCCTTTGATTGTATTACGCACCAGGACTGAGGGGGTTTGACTTCACAGCTGCCATGAAACACAAGGTCGTCACAACTGCAACAGATAACGCAGTGTTAAATCAGATAAACATTCCAACAAGTGTTTCCATCATATCAAAGCAAGGTACTTAACAACTGACGCCATAGGATTAAACTAAATGTCATGGATATTCCAAAAAAGCCCAATATCTAAAACCAAATTCAGAGGGGGAAATGAACAGCTGTCTCTCAGACTATAGACCATCTGATATGATATAGTATTGTTTATATTCAATACATTTACAAACTTGAAATGCACTAACATGAATCAGAATCATCAGTGACCCTTAACATTTTGTACTGTACCTGCATGTGACATTGAGAAGGACAGCGAATGGCGGCACAGAGCCCAAGCAGGAACAGTTCAGTGAGGCCTTAAAATCTGTCGTGCAGCTGACATTGCACATAGACGAGACTGCATCAAAAAAGGAAAGTGTGGTCAATGATTATTGCATTTATTTAATTTAAAATGCATGCTCTACAAACGTCTAATAACTTGTTTCTATAACGAAATCTCAATGAACTACAGAAATGTTTTTAAAGGAAAAGTCGGGCAAGGCCACAGCATCAAGACAAACACAATGAAGAAGAGTAAAATAATAACTTGATCTCAAATATATGAAATGATTGTGAGAGAAATATATGTCAATACAAGAGTAAGATAACAATAAGTTAAGGAAACTTACCAACATGGGGAATCAAAGTGAGGTCCCACAGCAACAATAAGAACAGGTGTTTAAGAGCCATGGGGAAAACCCACTGTTATCTGGTTAGACGGAATAAAACAGCATCTGAAACTAAATATAGACATTCTCGTTAGAAATGTGTTTTGTGGTTAAACTTTAAAAGAAAAAGAAATTGAGACTATGTGTGAGATTCGTTGCTTATTTGAGACAACGGTTAGTTAATTATCTAATTCACAAAGGCGCAAAGTCTGTCTACCAAAAACATTAGCATTAGCAGCAATAATTGAATGCAGTCATTAAAGAGCATCGACATTGACCGGTCAGAACTAAAGGCAATACATAAATCATCTCTTAAACCAGCTGAACATCTTATAATAAAACATTTTTTATTCACTATTCTCTTTTTCTCATTACAAATAAATGTAATAAATCAACCGTATCTTACCTTATTTAAATTTGAAATCCTTCCACCTAAACTTTCAGCATCTGACTGAGTCACTGACGCGCTGATGTCTGTGTGAATGTTTCATGGAACAATGTTGGTGTCACTGCGAACACATCATCATCATTCGTGGTGTGACGAAGGATGTGGTTTCAGACCCTTTGAGCTTTTGAGTCTGTGTCGATCCTTCCACCCACTTCCACTCTGCTTGAATATGCAACAGCTAACCAGAAAGAAAAAAAAGTCAACAGGAAACCGAAATTATCTTCTATAAAAAAATGTAGCCGTCATAATGATGCCACCTCAATAAAAGGAAGACACATACTAATACTAGTTTAGAAAAACAATACACTTTCAGTCAAAGAAAATTCAGGAAAATGGAGATACTTTCAACTTCAACAGTTTGTGTTTCTTTTACTGCATTTCAAGAACTGCAATAATCATTACAAAGGTAGCCACTTGTTTTAATTTACTATCTCAAAACACAACTCATACATGTTTCAGTACTGAGATGATTCTGAATACCAACACCAGAGATGTGGTTTGATACCCTTAATAGACTCTTATCAGGGGGTTTTCAGCAGTTGTTTGAAGCTAAATTAGTCACCACCGTGCTCTAAAGCCCCTAAGAGCTTAATTTTAATAATTAAATTAACTCTTAATATTAACTTCAATCATTTACAACTGGATATACATGTTTTCCAACAGGAGTCAAAGCATAACACACCTTTTTAATGCGTATATAAAATGCCATCTTAACTATTTAACAACACAATTAATTATTGTCACATACATTGGTGGGCCTTTGTGGTATTGAAATCACCAGGTAGTGTACAGACATTTCACTTAATGTCACTAGCAGTAAAGGTCAAAGCCAAATGCCATTTGATCACACAAAATGAAACAAAGCTTAGCACGTAGCTCTTAAACCCGCTTAGAACAACCTGACCAATAAATACTTTTGTAGCATTTACTGCCACTGCAGAACAAGGCAATGTCTTTAAAACTAGTATTGACCTCCAGGTGCTGCATTGTGCAACAGTGAGTCGATTAATCAGTAATTGATAGATAGAAACGTAGTTTGCAAATAAATGATGCTACATCCGTTGTTGACGTTATTTTACAAAAAAGAAAGACAAGCATTTGTGGTTTAAAAACCTCACTGTTCTGTGACTGCAGGTTCGAAAGAGTCAAATGGAGCGGATACACTTCCCCATGTAAATTAATAAAGTCACTTTAGGTCATCCTGTAGTATTTCATAGCATTTTGTGGTATTACCTTGTAAGGTAATTATATTCTAGCTTGATGGCAGGTTGGAGCCTAAAGTCAAGTCCAGTCTAATACAATCTAAAACCCCATTTTGCGACCTAAGAAGGGTTGGACTAAATGTTGTACAAACACTTCTCTGCCACTAGAGGTCATTGTATTTGAGGTTTAACTTTAACCTGCTGCAGTTCTTCTCAATTGTTTCGATGCAGTTTTGCCAACTACTGTATATAACATGCTGCACTAACTTTCAATGAATTGTGGTTCTTTAAACACGATTATTTTTGTACTTTTAAGATATCTAACGTATGAGGTAGAATACATTGTGTTCACAACATTAAACACAAGTACATACTGATAAAGACTGCAGATATTACCTGACACTAACACAACATTCTCAAGGAGGAGGAATCAGTTTCTGTTGTGTTTGCTAATTTCCTGTGCGAGATGATATGCAGGTGGCAACATATGATGAATGTCACATTGTACTTTATAAATAAGGAAATGTTCGGGAATAGCTCCTTGAATACAGAAATATGTTGTGTAGGTTACAATACCTTTAAATTCTGTCCCATGGTTACTCATCTTTAACCAAAGGGCTGGAGACATTAGTGCCAAGTGAGTCCATCGTGTTCAGTGAGGATAGGGGATCCATGTGGCTGAAGCATGATTGACCACATGGTATGCCATCTATTTCTATTTCAAGGCACAGAGAGAGAAAGACGTTTTAGAGCAAAGAGAGAACCATGTCTTCCAGCGAGGTGGGGATAGGCCAACAGTCTTTCTGTATCAGAATCAGAAACAGAAACAGGGTTATTGCCGGTTCGCACATACTAGGAATTTGACTTGATGTCATGGTGCATACATAAAATATAAAAAACAAGAAATCTAATATAAAACAAAAAATATTTTACACCGTAATAAAATATAGTTAAATAGCAATAAAAAAAAAAAATAAAGCAGTAATTTACATGGAAATAGAATGCTATGAATGCATTTTGAATATAAACTATGAAATGTGAAATAAGAATATGTACAGTAAGGAGTATGAACATTGTGTGCATTAATGTAATGCATATAGTCTATAGTCTATGATGTGGCTGAGGTAAAGTGTCAGTGGGGGGGCCGGGCCTTGTTTAAGAGGCCGGTAGCGGAGGGGAAGAAACTGTGGGGGGGTGAACAGTTTGTGTCCAGGGTGGGAGGGGTCGGCCACTATCTTCCCTGCCCGCCTCAGGGTCCTGGAGGCGTGCAGGTCGTGGAGGGATGGCAGATTGCAGCCGATCACCTTCTCTGCAGAGCGGATGACACGCTGCAGCCTGCCCTTATCCTTGGTTGTGCATGCGGCGTACCAGATGGTGATGGAGGAGGTGAGGATGGACTCGATGATGGCGGTGTAGAAGTTCACCATCATCATCTTTGGCAGGTTGAATTTCTTCAGCTGCCTCAGGAAGAACATCCTCTGCTGTGCTTTTTTGATGAGGGAGCAGAAGTTCTGCTCCCATTTGAGGTCCTGGGCGATGATGGTGCCCAGGAAGCGGAAAGACTTCACAGCAGTTACTGGGGAGTCACACAGAGTGATGGGGGGGGGGGGGGGGGTATAGATTGGATGTCAGCAGTGATTCTACATCTGATAAGAAGGGGATCTTATACTCACTGTATTCAAGTTTCCACTGTTTAACACCAGCAATGACACCCTAAACACACAATATGTGGGCTAGTTTCCTGCCCCCATGGGTCTCTTAATCAAAACAATAGCAAAAGATGGATATTGGTGGTGGAAATGACCATGGGATTGTGGTATATAATAGTTATTCTCCACCATTGCGATCATGGCAGACAGCTTCTTCCAGTTATGATTCCTCTAGTTGTCTTCTCTAAGCCGAATCATCAACAGAAACATTTATGTAAAGTTATTTGGTTGAAATAAGTAAAAACAAAAGTTGTTGCGTACACATTTGGCTAAAGACTGATATTACATTTTTGACAATGGATGTTTAAAACGAATAGTTACCTTGAGTAATATTAAATATTAATTCAATTCAATTCAAAACCTTTATTTATCCAGGTAAAATCCCATTGAGATCAATGATCTCTTTTTCAAGGGAGACCTGCAGCAGTAGGTTCCACAAGAAGACATAAAATCATAAACAACAAAAGGACATCATACAGCAAAATGTACAGGGATTACAATTTACATATCTAACCACATGTACAGGTACCAACAGCACCTGATTTTGTAGCATCCAACCGAGCTTTAAAAACATGTAGTGGTACTAGCTTGGTAATTTTCCATTCTTTTTGCAGACTGTTCCATGTTAGTGGAGCTGCACATCTAAAAGCTTTCTTCCCTAAGACAGTCCTAGCACTTGGCACATTTAATAAAACCACAGCATGCGATCTCAGACAATAAGTACTTTCAATTCGCCGAGAGATCAGGGAGCAGATATAAGATGGTAGTTTATCCAACATGGCTTTGTAAATGAAAAAGTACCAGTGACTGAGCCTCCGTACAGTAAGTGATGGCATAACCGCCTTGGTATACAGGGTACAGTGATGCGCAAGTGCTTTACAATTTGTCCAAAATCTCAATGCACTGTGATACGCAGCATCTAACTTGCTCAGGTCATTGGCAGGTGCATTCATATATAACAAATCACAAGTGACTAAACTTCACAAGATTAGGCTATGGGGGAATCTTCTAAGTTTCTGGGTTAAAAACAAGCCCAAGGGAATATTAGTATTGGCATCCAAAAGTAAATGCTGTTGAATTCTTATAACATACATTCAATAACATGAACGAACTGAAGCACAAAGTTACCGAATCGTTCTCACTGGGGAACTCCGTGATGAAGTCTGTTGTTTAATTTTTACACTGTGGTCTATGAAGCCTGATTTACTTATATGATTCTGTTTTCTTCAAGTTTGTATTTTGTTGGTCGAACGCACTTATTGTAAGTCGCTTTGGATAAAAGCGTCAGCTAAATGCAATGTAATGTAATGTAATGATGATCAGAATCAGCTTTGTTTATTTGTTTTAACATAGACTGTGGTTCAGACTCGATTATAAATAGATCACATTAAGATAGTAAAACCATCACTTTCAGAGTCCACTGCAGTTTTAATGGCCACTTTTACTGCACTAAAAAAAAGCAACCCCTTGTTAGTGCTGCATTGTTGTGACTTCAACGGTGCATTTTCACAATCTCACAAAAATCACACTTGTGTCATGTATTCCCTTCTAGTTTCAGCAAACTAAAGCTTTTACTCTGAAATATTAAAGGGGGCTTTCTGAATCTGGCAGAGCTGGTCTTAATCTGGGGGGTAATGCTTTGTAATAATGGATTATATTAGATTTTTCATGGATTAATGTACATATTTTCAGCGTTAGGTGGTAAAGGTGGAGATCATATTTTCAGTTGTTAATCTAACCTAATTTAAATTGCAAGATTAATTTAAAAAAAACAACACAGAGTCCTACTGAGAAATATAAGTATAAAGTAGGCCTATGGTCTACCATAAAATAAATTTAAAAAGTACTTAAGTACACTATTTGGTTGAATATAAAGGCCTACTTAGTTACTTTGATAAAATATGATTTTGATTATCAACAAAATATATGGAGCAATTGTCTTTCAAATACGTACAGTTTAAAGGGAAGGAAGCAGTGTTTTCCTGATTTAAGCTTTTGTTACTGTTACGTGCCGTAGTGTTTGTGTGTAAGACCATTCGAGGAACTGATCTGACAGGATGTAGTTAAAAGTTAACCTTTGTCACTGGTTACAGCAAATCACCGCCTTGTGTTGCAGCCTATTTAGTGTGAAGGGAAAATGCAACTCAACACTTCAGCAGATATGTATCAGCTGAAAATATCTGCAACTTCATTCAGAAATGTGTCCTAAATGAACTTGGTCTAAAAATAACACAATGGAATAAACCATAATATTCACAGTTTTACTTTTGAAGTATTAGTTTTACTCCTACGCCTTTTCTTTCGTAGTGAGAATAAGAATCATTCAAGATGTCCTTAAGCAACGCATTAAATTAAAGTTCAGTGGTGCAGTTTAAGAAGCCCCTCTTACAATAACGTGATCACATTAATAGAACAAACAAATTCTCTGTAGATTAAGTCATACATTCACTTCCCAGTATCTCCAAAATTAAATAGGCTAAGTTGTTAGCTATTTTAAGCTATAAATCCTTACAACTATAACAATGTTCTTGCTGAAAATTATTTTCCTGGGGGCGACAGATGTCAGTCATCAGTGCTAAACTAATACAATTAAAATGTAAATGTCAGACCTTACTACACTTTACACCTTTGAGTTAACTGCCAGTGCACCACCTGTAGGCTAGAGGTAACACAAATAATTAAATGGTGACATATTGTTTAAAATATTTTTGTGACAGCCACATTCTGGCTGAGTTTGTCTTTGACTGCAGTATGTATTGTCTCGCACAACAAGTTAGTCTGCAAGAGTGTGCAGCTAAAATGTACCAAAACCTGGACATAAGGTCATTTTTATATTTTATGTGTGTATCCTTCTATGTGGTCTATTATGTAAAATTGTTCTGCAAAATACTACAAATACAGAATACAATGAAAATATTTAAACTTGGGTTGTGGGGTGCATCATTGTTGACATTAGCTAGCTTGGTCCACTAGAGGGCAGTATAGATGTCAAAGAAACAGTTCTGTATTTGCAGCCTCAAAGGAGTTGATCATTCAGTGTACTTTAGAATGGAGTTACAAGTCTCTTTTTTTCATCTGTTTGCATGATTGCATTTAACCAAAAGACACAACATGAATTAATGTCAAGGGATTAATTTAAGTTATGCACAAAGTAACTTTTAAAACTGATATATTGTACAATAATGTGTGTTTTTTTTAACTGATGAAATAGATTTTAACTAAACAGAAAAAGTCAAAACGTGTCTTGGTCTCAGATTGTGTTCATTTTCCTGTATTAGCATTTTCTACTTAATGTAACACACAAATGCTGTAACATGAACCTAACAAAGCCAAGGCTGTTTCGTGTTTCCATGAGTGAAAAGTAACGTGTATCTGTCCAATCTGCTCCAAAATCGAATGGGTTCATCCATGGCCCAAGCTGAACTCTTCCTCCAAATTTCATGAAAACTGAGCAAGTAGATTTGCTGTAATACTCCGAAAAATACATAAAAACGTACAAATCGAAACGAAAACATTACTTCCTTAGCGGAGTGCAAATATGCAAGAAAATGTACCATTAAATGTGAGTAATTTGAGAAAACATCAGGTGGTAAAGTAGTCCAGTAGAAGTTATGCAATAATCCACACTGTGTGGCACCTACTTGTTAGCTTGTGGGGAACAATAGAATAGAAAAAACATTAATTATTAAGAGTGCACAAACAGTTACAACATGTATGCTTGTGACCTTTAGCCAGTTTTTTGTCATATCTCAGCGGGTGTTCCTAGCGGGTACAGTGTTGGGGGTGGGGGGGCTTTGCTCTTTATATTAGAGGTGGCTGAAACAGCTCTCCGCAGGTTGAGAAGGGGGTTATCCCTCTGGAGGGCTGCAGGCTCTCGTAGAGTTGTTCTGTCAAGTGACCCGCACAGTGAAGCAAAGTGGTGGAGGTGTCTTTACTGTGAGGGTGGCG